CTCTGAAAGGTATGCTTCAACTATTTCAGAGACAATAATGATGTGGCGTCTCTGATTCCTCCTGACATAGCACTGATAAGAGTCTTGGTCCAAATGGTTGCTGATTCTCCATGTCTGCCTCTGCTTTTAGAATCTCTCACAAACACCAGCTAAGGAGGAGGACTAGCAGAGGTCCAGTCACTACTACAAGGAGTTTCACTAATTTTAATTGTTTTTACTGTTATTGCCTCAATTATTGTGCCCTTCTTTCTTTGCATCTCATGCACTTTTTTAGCTGGTCTGTCTTTTTCTACATATGCAGAGTCCTCACAGCTGAATAGGTTCACACATTGTGGCCAATATGAACTCTGGAGTGCAGTCCATCATTTCACACATGAAACCTTTCAATTCCTCCTTCAACTTCCTAATAGCAGCTGCCACCTCTTGATACAGACTCTCCAGGTGAAATGTTATGCTCCTATCTGATTCCTTTCATATTATTTTTTAGGTGTATAAATAATGAAATCACCTGCCTAAAGCTTGCTGTGGCTTGACTTACAATTTCTGTGATATCTCTAAAAGATTTATGGAATGCACTATAATTCCCTGTCTGAACTATATCTCCGCATCCCTCTCTCCTCAGCAGACATGTCACTCTTATGCTCATCTCTGATGATGAGAAATGTATCGCTCTTTGCTGCTACATTCCATAATCTCAAAAGTGGAGGTTCAAGGTTTCACAACATCTTGGCGAAGGTGATGCTGATGCAAACATGCTTGATGCTCTCTTAAATAGACTTAACACTGCGGTGAAAGTTTCTGCCAATCTTTGGACATCTGTGTATTAGACTGCAGAATCTGACACCAGATATAAAACATGGGCTGCACAGTGCACACTGATAAAGTCACCTACTCACTACAAAGCACTTGCGAGTGGATAATTTTATCAGTGTGCATGCTGCCTGTCTAACCCACCTTACTAGCATAGCACAAAGTGAATTTCTGAAATGCACTGTGTAGTATTTGTTTTTTTTTCTTCTAGCATTAAAGTATATTTGGGTCTCAGGGCCGGACTGTGAAATAAATTAGGCCCGGACATTTTTCAAACACAGTGGCCCCCCTTTAGAAGTCGATGGGGCCAGAGAAGTCGACGGGGCCCCCTCTCAAAGTGAGCATGTTGGTTCAATGCGCAGAGCCCCGCTGAAGAGCTTTGGCATGAGAAAAGGGCCCTGTATTTGTTCTGCACATCGCAGGCAAATATAATGCACTGTGTTTGCTTTAAACTTGTATCTGGTGTCTCCATAAGTGGTAACCGTGGCAACGCTCAGAATCCTGCAAGAGGAACCCAGTGGAGCTGCTGGCTAGAGCTTCCCAGGTCCTCTCCTGCCTCCCTCCAGCCGCATGTCAGTTCCTGTGGGCCGGTGAGGCAGATCTTTGATCTCCCCACCGGCCCACGAAGGCACACAGCAGGGCCGGCGCTCAGCGCTGTGATCTCCCCTGCAGGCCTCGGACCATGGCCATCGCCCAATATGCCTGATGGCCAGTCCAGGCCTGTTGGTTTTCACTTATTATATGTGTTAGACCATTTTTTAGGCTTTTTAATAGTTTTTAACTATTTCATTTGTTCCTGGCACATCCAACTTGAATTTTGGACAACTACTCTAAACCATATGTCTGGTAGGGATTATACCACCCATGCGCAGATATTTGAGTGATACACCGCTTTATCAAATGTGAGTAAAATATGTTTATTTATTTTTATATTAATTGTACAGTGAGTACTATTGTGTTTCTCTTTATTTTTTTTTTTTATATAACCATCTGTACACTGAGACACTGGCCTTCAGAGTTTTATATCCATCAGTGGGGATTTTACTGCTGTAAGCTATTTCGAGCTAGGCTCTACAAAATGTGAGTGCAATTCCAATTACCATTATTAAGAGATCTGTCATCCTGCTTAAACAGTCTGCACTATTATCTTTCATTTTGTATCTTTTTACATATGTTGACAAGCAACTAAATCAAGAACTGATACCTATCAAGAATTTAAAAACAGCTGGGATTGTGAGCACTGGACTGTAAATATAGGACTTTATTATTAATTCTATATATATTTCTTCACTCATTTTACCTTTATATCGATCCATTGGTGCAACCTATTTTTTGTGTATTTTATGTTATTTTTTTTTAGGGTTTAAAGGTGTACCCTATATCCAGAATTTTCTGCCTATATTTTGTCAGTTGTTCTTCTAGCGCTTATTCCTTATTTTTGTATATAGCTCAAAGAGATGCCAGAATGTTAGCTGAGCTGTTCTATTGATCCAAAATCACAGCATGTTGCAGAATAAAATCACCCTTTGTCACCTTATGAGCCTGCTGCACAAGGTACATTTGGCTGACACTAATGTGCTGTTAGAGACAAGAAAGTATGGTGTGCACTAAGGGCACTCCATATGTCTGTGGTGAAGTATTACAGTTCCTCCTTTAAAACTGATACACACAAGTGGAACAGAGAGGGCACTGTTTTCCTGCTAAATCTTGTTTAGAAAGACAGGTGGTAATTGGGTGCTAGGGCCTGTATCAGTTGTTTGAATGGCCCACCTTCTGCTGATGTCACCAATAAGTATAGTTGTAACCTTATCACCAACCTCTGTAAAAGTAGGTGAAAAAATTGTAACAGACTTGGAGCATCAGGAGGAGGAGTTATCTCACGATCGAGAGGAACAAGAAGAGGAGAGCAGCAGGTGCCTATCATAATATTTCCATCTTCTGATGGGATGGAGATGTTAAGAAGCTCCCCAACAGCAATAAACTTGCCTATCAATGGTGTCACATTGATATTTGTTTGACATGCCCCTGACATGTACAGCGACAAATTCTTCAAGGGTAGGTTGGTGGGCCTGGCATTGACTTTTTTGCCCCCTGTCTCTGTTGACTAGCTTGAGATTTCTCTTTACAACTGGCACAAGCAAAGAGTGTTGGTACTGATGCTTCTGATGATGATGAACTTTCCCTCTGCTCCTTGTGATGTGTGCGAAATAGATTAGTCTGCTCTTATCAAATGTCCTCAAAATTTTCTCCTGCTTACCTCCTGCCTGCATTTGCCACATACCAATTTCCCTCAAATTCAAAATACTCCCACACTTTCCCCCTTTGCTATAGATCTGCTAGTGCTTGATGTGAAATGGGAGATTTACTGCTTCTCCATTCAAGTGCCACTGCTGTTTCTTTTTAATGTGGTTGTTGATGTTACAGTTTTACTAGTGAGTGTTACACTATTGGTTACAAAATAGCTAGGGAGAGGAGTAACTGATGCCTCTATCAAACTAAAAGTACTACTACTACTACTACTACCACCCTTCTCTTTTTGTTTTTCAGGAGATGGAGATGTTACGATAGACTCCTGCTGTTCTTCTTCTTTTCCCCTGGATCGTGATCTAATTCTTCCTCATGCTACACTGCCTGTTACAATTCTTTCACACACTTTTTTGGAGGAGGGTGATAAGGTTACATCTACACTTGACACTGTGACACCGGTGCTGACTGACCCTCCTCTACAACTCTCATACTGGTATGTGCTGCTGCTGCTGCTACCTTTGTTCCCTGAATATACGTACTACTACTAATGGTTGTAGTAGTGGTACTTTGCAATATAGGGCTGCTGGTGGCTTTTGGGGCAATGATGGTTTTGGCTAAATTGCTCCTTTAACAAATAATGAGGGTGCTGGTGCTGCGGCTACTCTCACTTGTTTTAGAAAACAGTGGACATTTTCAAGGGTCTGACTTCTACAATTTTTTTACTAACAGAATGCACCAAACCAGCCACTCTACTACTTTTCCACTGCCTTTGTTTGTTTGAATATAATACATGCATTATCTTCTTACCAAGTGGTAGGCCAGACCTTTCTTTCCTAGAATGTCAGCGTTGTTGATGGATTTGCCTGATGAGTCTGTAGTACTGTTGCTGCCTGCAGCTAAAGATGCAGCAGAGTTGGATGCTATTGGCTCTGGCTTGTTATTATCATATTTTGATGAACCAGTCTCCTTGACAATCTTCTTAAAAAAAACACATTTGGTGGCATTATTGTGCTGATATTGCTAATTGGTTTATTAAACTGTATTACTGAGATTGGTAGGGGAATTGGGAAATGCTTGACATACACACAACACAACTTACTTAAACGTAAACATAAAATAAAAGTAGGTGCACTGAATGAAGTGGAATATACATTCTGTGCACTAATTATTCTATGGAAAAACATTAACTTTAAATTTTTTACTCATTTTCTTTTTTTTTTTTATGTTCCTGCAACACAACTAATAACGTGCAGGTTTACAGGGCTAAGCCCTTTTACCCTGGTTAAATTGTTGAAAAAAGATGAATTCTCTCTAATATATTCAGCTCCACCAGCTAGCTCAATTTCTTTTGAAGAAAAGACTGCACACTGCCAGAAGAAAACACAATCTAATCCACCAATGCTGTTAGTTTACTGTATAAGTCAGTGTTTAAAATTAAAAGTTTTGTCCACGAAGAGAAGTTTATAAATGTGCTCATCTTTACATATGACTAAAACTGAAAAAAAAAACAGGTTGCATATGCCTTTGGCAACCATGTGATTCCTTTTTTAAACCACTGCAGGACTCTCTCTGCTCTCTGTGATCCAAGGCATGAGGTCCCTGGTGCAGCTGTAATAGTGGTAGTTCCACAACTGGCTCCGGGCTGTTCCCACGGCTGTTAGAAGGAACAGTTTCCTGCAGTACCGCTACTCCTAAGCTGATGCTCCCAACAGCTTCACTCAAACGGGCAAATCTTTTAGGCTGCACAAGATCAGGACTAGCTAAACCTCTTCCCTTCCCCCTGCTTCCTCGCCCCACTGTTTCCCAGCTATGTGCCTGCTCACCAACTGTCTCATCTCCTCCCACTTCACTACCTGCAGACCCCTCTCAAGACTGTCAATCTTCCTAAGTGTTGCAATTTGCCTCTCTAGATCTCCAACCAGAAAAGCCACTCGCTCACACCCACCACAGAGGTATGGACCCCAGACATCCACCCTGTATGCAGCAGGATGTCTGGGGTCCATACCTCTGTGGTGGATGTGCACTGAGTAAAACTTGCTAGCACTCATCCCCAGTTACCAAAAACACAAATGAGCAAAACAATATTTACCCTCTTGGTTTAAACTCCCTTGTAGTTTCAACTCCTGTTGTTTTAACACCTACTTAAGAGACTACTTTAAATAGCCTACCTTCAAGCAAATTGCAGTGAGCAATCTCTGTAATATATTCCAGCCAAATTGATACACACAACAAGGCATATTCACACTCCAATTTTCCTTGTAAAAATAAATTTGTAAGGACACTTATCAACATGATCTGCAGAAAGTGGATATTTTAAACATGCATAAACTCCATATTAATTACAGAAATCTACATGCCACGGAAATGCCACAGTGTTTAATTTCCTTTTACTGCAATATTCTCTGAATGTGACGTTAGGACAGGAAATCAATCAAATAGAGTGGGAGTGAAGCAGAGCTGGAGGAGAGAGTAAAGCAATGCCCTATAGGAGAGAGCAAGAGACAGGTATGTAAGGTAGAGGTTACTCTGGGAGGCCATACGCTTTCCTAAAGAGATGTTTTTTTTAAGGCACTTCTTAAAGGATTGAAGACTAGGGGAGAAGTCCTGAAAGCATGAGTTGGCCATGCAGGTGAGAGTAGCGGTCAGGAGGTTGTCACGGGCAGAGCGGAGGGAACGAGGAGGGGCATACCTATGAATCTGTGAAGAGATATAAGAGGGGCTAGAATTGTTCAGTGCTTTAAATGTATGGGTTAGCACTTTGAATTGACTCCTATAGGATACAGGGAGCCAATGTAAGGACTGGCAGAGGGGTGAGGTGTGACAGGACCGACTAGAGAGGAAAATCAGTCTGGCGGCATTTTACACAGCGTGGAAAAGTTCTTTGGAATTTTCCCACGCTATGTAATTTGACTCATTACACTCTGATTGGTGGATTAAGTAACCAATCAGAGTGTTATGAGTCAAATTACACAACGTGGGAAAAATGATTGGTGGATTTCAAGCCAACCAATCAGAGTGCTGTGACAGGTAAATGTAGAGACTTACCTGTCAGTCTCATCATTTACCTGTCAGAGAACTCTGATTGGAGGCTTAAACCCACCAATCAGAGTGCTCTGAGCCTAATTGCAGGGCGGAGCAAGGCTTTATAAGCCTTCCCCCGCCCTGCAGGGCTCACTCTGCGCTGAGCCCTCCATGGGTGAAAATTGATTTATTTATTTTTTGATTATTTTTTTTTGTGCTCTTTTTTTTTTTTTTTTAAGTGTTAAAGTGTTTAAGTGTTAAAGGGTTATTATGGATTTTTATTTGGCCTTTTTTGGGGGCTGAAAAAAGAAGAGTTTAGAAGAAAGAAGACATCAAATGGTAAGCCTTTTTTTTTTTTTTTTTACAGGTATTTAGTTAATGGTCCCCCCTCATTATTTTTAGGATGAGGGGTTAGGTAGGGGTAATTTTTTTGGGGGGAGCAGGGTGACTAGGGGTTTGATTACCCCTAGTCACCTGGGGGTACATTTTTATTTAGGGCCCCCACCCGCCGCTCAAGGGTGGGGGCCGGGGGTAGGGCAGTAGGTCCCCCTCCCTAATTTTTATTTATAGCCCCCACCCACCGCTCAGGGGTGGGGGCCGAGGGGACGACAGTATTTAGGGCCCCCACCCACCACGCAGGGGTGGGGGCCGGGGGGGAGGACAGTAGGTCCCCCCCAAATTCTTAATTATGTTTTTTTTCAGGATAAGTACTACAGTGGCATGTTTAAGGTCAGCAGGAACAGTGCCAGAAGAGAGAGAGCAGTTGAACATGTGTATTAGGGAAGGCACAAGACAAGGGGAGAGAGATCTGATGAGGTGAGACGGGACAGGATGGAGCGGGCAAGATGTGGGGCGAGAGGAATGGAGATGCACAGCCACCTCTTGTCCACTAGCCGGGTAGAAAGTCTGAAGGGTAGGAAAGGCATGATCTACGTGTGGTTGAGAAAGAGAACTGCAAGGAGAATTCCTTCCTTAGCTGTTCAGTTTTGTCAGTAAAATAGCATGCAAGGCTATCAGCTGTAAGGTTACTTTGGGGGGGTGGCCACAGCAGGGCAGAGAAGAGAATTAAAGGTGTCAAAGAGATGTCTGGGATTGCGGGAGCATGAACTAATGAGAGAGGAAAAGTATGACTGTTTGGCGAGGGCAAGGGCTGCGCTGTATGAACGCAATATGAATCTATAATGGAGAAAGACTGCCTGGGTGCGGGACTTCCTCCAGGAGCGTTCAGCACAACGGGAGCAACTCTGCAGATTGTGTGTTGATTTAGTATGCCAAGGTTGGGGTAGTGTCCTCCTTGAGGTGCATGTTTGGAGCGGGGTGAGGGTAGTGTTATATGTGGAGATGGCCAGTGAGGGACAGGAGAGGGAAGGGATGGATAGCATTTGTGAAGCAATGTCAGCAGACAGCTGCCGGAGGTTAATTGAATTAAGGTTCCTCCTGAGTTGAGGGGGTTTAGACTGAGGTTGTTGGGTGAGGGGGTAATTGAGAGCAAGCGATAAGAGGTGGTGATCAGAGAGAGGAAATGGAGTGTTGCAGATATTAGATACTGTACATGAATAAGAGAAAATAAGGTTGAGGGTATTGCCAGCTACATGGGTGGGAGAATAAGCCCACTGCAATAGTCTGAGGGAGGAAGTAATTGAAAGTAGTTTTGATGCTGCTCGGGTCAAAGGTGGGTTAATGGGAATATTGAAGTCTCCAAGAATTAGGGATGGAATGTTAGAAAAGAGGAAGTAGGGTAGCCAGGCAGCAAAGTGGTCAAGGAAGAGGAGAGGGGAACCAGGGGGACGATAGATAACGTCAATGTTGGCAAAGAAGGGTTTTAAAAGGCGAATTGAATGAATTTCAAATGATGGGAAAGAGAGGGAGGGGGGTGGGCAGAGTTTTAAAGGAGCAGTGGGGTGAAAGGAGAAAATCTACGCCGCCACCTTTACTCTCTGCTTGTCTTGGATTGTGGGTAAAGTGAAGACCACCAAAGGACAGTGAGGCAGGGGTAGCAGTATCAGAGGGGGAGAGCCATGTTTCTGTTAGTGCAAGTAGGTTTAGGGAGTGTGAGATAAATAGGTCATGGATGGAAGTTGATTTAAAGGTGTTGCACACAGAGCGTGCATTCCAGAGGGCAGCTTTAAAGGAGCAATTATAGTGAGAATTACATGGAATGGGTATTAGGTTGTTGTGGTTTCTGATGTTTGTATCAGGTAGCTGAGTAGTGGAGGCACCAGGGTTTGGAGAGACATCACCAGCTGCTAGGAGCAGTAGGATGGAAAGGAAGAGAAGGTAAGATTTAAATGTTGGGGATGAGCGTTTGCATTTAGGCGATTTAGGAGGGGTTTGTGGAGAAAGACTGGATAAATATGAGTGAAGTGCATGTGATGAAAATAGTGATGAGGGAAGCAGAGAGGGAGCAATGAAGATGGTGTCAGCAGGAACAGGTGAGTAAAATGATAGAGAGATTTTAATAATGAGGGAGGTGAGAGAAAGTGAAAAATAGAAAAATAGAAGTGAGAGCATTAGTAGGAGAATAGGTGCTGTGTTTTTAAGAGCTGTGGTCAGGAGGGTTAAGGGTTAAAGAATTATTGTGTGAGTTTAGCTATTTTAGGTGTATTAAATGTCTATACTTACAGACGGCCTTATAGTCAAGTATCAGCAACTGTCTACTAGAGTTTAAAGGAACACTATAGCGTTAGGAATACAAATATGTATTCCGAACGCTATAGAGCATGACTAGGGCCCCGTTCCATGGCGAATAAACAGTTAATTAACCATTTATTTGCTTACCTTAATCCAGCACCAGGCTCCCTCGGCTCTGATGACCTCTCCTTCTCCATCTACGTCAGCTTCCGAGTGGATCCGAATGCGCATGCGCGGCAAGAGGCGTGTGCGCTTTCAAACCCGCCCATAGGAAAGCATTACTCAATGCTTTCCTATGGGGATCTTTTTTGACACTGGACTCCGTGAGGATTTTGACTGCCCGTATGGGTGGGACCAGTCTGATATGTTTCAGAGATGTTCTGTCTGTAATAGCAAAAGTTGAGCTAAAACCATCTTGAGATCTGAGCGGGGACCAACCGAAGGGCAGGCTATTTGAGCTGTTGTCCGTCCTCACCTCTCTTGCTACCCTTTTTTTTTTTTCTCTCTCCTTAAGTGTAAAGGATAATCCAGACGTGGACCCCTTGCTCACGGTGCCTAGAGGAATATTGGCTATACCTCACTGATGATACCTTACAAGGTTGAAACGGTCGTCTGAGGTTGCCGTATCTCTTGTGGAGAGGGAATTCGCTGGCATTTCGGATCTGGGCTGCCAGTATGGGTGGGACCAGTCTGATATACTTCAGAGATGTTCTCTCTGTAATGGCACAAGTTGAGCTAAAACCAGCTTGAGATCTGAGCGGGGACCCACCGAAGGGCAGACTATTTGAGCTGTTGTCTGTCTTCACCTCTCTTGCTACCCTTTTTTTTTCTCTATTTTTTTATATAGGTGCATGGCTAACCCAGCTGTGTTGAGCCGTCAGTCTGTTTCCTTAAATGCTTTTTGAATTGCTTTCGTTTCAGTCCTGTGTAAAGCACTGCAGTTTTTAAAACTGATTTCCAGGGACATAACTTAACTTTACACACAAACACTGGCTGACATTGAACTAACAGCGATGTGGGGTTGTTGGATTGGACTGTGTTCTTTTAGCAATGTGCAGTCTAATTAAGTTACTACTGAGAGAAATTGAACTAGCTGGTGAAACTGAATATATTGAATATATATATATATGTATATATATATATATATATACATATATATATATATTTATATAAAGTAAAAAAGCAATAGGTCTGGCACTCTACTTAAAAAACGAACTGTAGACTTAAACCAAGGTACTGCACTGCACTGGATGAATATATGCAAAAAATATTTTAATACACTCAATGGATTTCCAATGTCATTAGTGTATTCAAATATTGCCAATAAGGATCAACGTTTCAACCTTGTGGTCTTTATCAAGCTTGATAAAGACCGCAAGGTCTAAACGTTGATTCTTATTGGCAACATTTGAGTGCGCTCATCTTTACAATTTTTGTGCACATATGTGTGTGTGTGTGAAAAGCCCTTGCACTCCAGCCAAGAAATAATGGTATCTTGTGGTCTGGTAGCTAAGCAATGTATACAGAGGGAATACCGGCACTCCAAGGATTTTCAAGTTATTTTCTTCTTTATTCAAAATGACATCAACGTTTCAGCTCCATTACGGAGCTTTCATCAGGACATCTGATGTATATATTTATTTATTTTTAACTATGCAGAAAACTCAAAAGTTTCTAAAAAAAAATTTTTAAATTGCACTGAATGTATATTCCTTTTCATTCATAGTAACATAGTTACATATCTGAAAAGAGACTTGCGTCCATCAAGTTCAGCCTTCCTCACATACAGTTGCAAGAAAAAGTATGTGAACCCTTTGGAATTATATGGATTTCTGCACAAATTGGTCATAAAATGTGATCTGATCATCATCTAAGTCACAACAATAGACAATCACAGTCTGCTTAAACTAATAACACACAAAGAATGAAATGTTGCCATGTTTTTATTGAACACACCATGTAAACATGGTGTGTGTGTGTGGTCTTACCAGCGATTTATAAAGAGGCAAAATTATATTTTCATCTTGAGAATGTATGCCCCTATTTATACATGACAAAACCTTACTGGCCTTAGCAACGGCATATTGCTGCCTAATTTGTTGTCTATAACAATTCCCAAATCCTTCTCATGTGTGGTTATCCTTAGTTCACTACCATTTAGGGTGTAAATTGCTTGTGCATTCTTAACCCCGAAGTGCATAACTTTGCATTTCTCTACGTTAAATTTCATCTGCCATTTTAGTGCCCAGTCCCCCAATCTATCCAAATCCCTCTGCAGCAAGGCAATATCCTGCTCACATTTTATTACTTTGCAAAGTTTTGTGTCATCTGCAAACATGGATACATGGCTTTCAATGCCCATTTCAAGATCATTTATAAATATGTTAAATAGAAGCGGTCCCAAAACAGAACCCTGAGGCACACCACTTACCACTTTTGTCCAGCTTGAAAATGTACCATTAATGACAACCCGTTGTACTCTATCCTTAAGCCAATGTTCTACCAAAGAACAAGAATATTCACCTAGATCAATTTCTTTTAGTTTGAAGACTAACCTATTGTGAGGAACCGTATCAAATGCCTTGGCAAAATCCAAGTAGATCACATCCACTGCAACACCCTGATCTATACTTCTACTTACTTCTTCGTAGAATGCAATTAGGTTAGTTTGACATGACCTATGTTTCATATAACCATGCTGATTATTGTTAATAACACAGTTCTTCCCAATGAATTCCTGAATATTATCCCTTAATAGCCATTCAAATAATTTCCCAGTCACAGAAGTTAAGCTCACAGGTCTATAATTTCCAGGCAAGGATTTTGAACCCTTTTTAAATATAGGAACAACATCTGCCTTCCTCCAATCCTCCGGTACATTCAGTGCACCTCCTTTTTCATTCTGTTTAAGTAAGTTGTTTTGTTTGTGTCCAGTATTTCCCAAGTGCCCTTTTCTAAATTAAAGTTTTAAAAAAATAATTAGCCACAAACTTCAGTGTGGATACTGAAGCATATACTACCGCACATACACCACTCTCTTACTATTACTCAACACTTGTTCAGAATACAGGATGCCATTAGAAACAGGCCCACCGTGTACCCTCCAATACCACTGGTGACTACCATGGACTCGCTGCCTTACATTATACTGACCTTTTCTAAATATCATGGGGTGACATATCTCTAGCAAATCCACAAGGGACACACCTTGATGTCCTTTTTGGTCATACAACTCACATTCAACATGCCAGTCACTACAGCATTCTTATACACACAACTCAAATCGTATATACCTAAAGAGTGCATACAATACTCTGAGCAGCATTCACAAACCACATAAAAAAGTCCTCTCACTTTGTTATGCAAAGGAGGTTTATAAAAAAAAATCTTGGTGCAAAGAACTGTGATGCCAGATTGAGGACACACACTGGGAATTGTGTTCTCCCCATAAAGGACTTACATCCTGCGCTACATGCCTGGAACTGCACTGTAAACTCCTTTGGAGGTGGTACCTAGTGCCAGAGAAATTTCACCACTTTTGGCTGGCCACAACCAACATTTGCTGGAGATGTTAGGAATAGGTAGGCTCAATGCTACATATATGGTGGTTTTGCAAAGTGATAAGGCCATTTTTTGAAAAATATCCACACAATGTTGGAAAAAATACAGAATTTTCCAATTCCCGCCTCTCCAGACTATTTTTTTCCACACCTTTATCTCAGCTGACTAATCTCCAGGCCACTAATCTCCAGGCCACACTACCGACCGTAGGCGACCTCATAAATCAAGTGGACTGAAACTGGTCCTATGAACACATGCCAATGACACAGCCAGGCCCAAACAAAGCTGTTAGAGAAGCCAGTAAAATATGGAGAGAGCACTTTAAGAGGTCAGACACTTAATACTATAAAAAAACAAAAAATACTACTGTGACGGACCGCCTGTCACCCCGACCGGGTACCTCCGTCAGTCGCTGCTTCCTAGTACTTGCATGCACCATAAGCACTATACTGGAACACCATAACCACCGTAGACCCCACAAAGCACCGCAGCTTGGTTGGGGTCTTGCCGTCCTCCACCCACCCTGGATCCAAGACCAGGATCCAGCTTCCAGTGGGTAGACCTCTCCTAGTCCAGAGAGCGTAGCAGGAACAGCTCTTATAATAGCTAGTGATTATACTCAGGGGAGTATTGTGATATAGCAATCCCCAGAGTGTATGTAGTTCTCCAATCCCCCAAACATGAGCAAAGACTTCATGAAGGGGTAAACAAATCTCAATTTAATGGGAGCCATACTTGGCCTTTTATGACAATCCCCATGCAAGGGGTACACCCACATGGACCTTGTAGGGGACTCCAACACAAAGACACAGACCAATAAGAACAGTGATTAAATGCCCGACACTCCCATAACAAACATACCATCCCTCCTCCCTGCTAATTGATAATTGGATCAGTAACTGTACTAATTCTAATCCAATTATTTCCAAGCACAGAAAAAAACATACCTTTTTAAAACACCCCAAAAGTACACTAAAATGACATTAAACTGCACACATGTTACATCCCCTGATAGCCCTGATCTGGGTTACCAACATATCCAAAAATCACCCAGATCAGTTCAGGGGTTCAGGAATTTTATGGAAGTAATTTATTTGACCGACCGAATGCATGGTCCCATAGCCGAAAATAGTTCCATATAATCGTGGCCAAGTACCGCTGGAGGACCGACCGGGAACCGCAAGGTTTTCATGCCGAAAATAGTTCCAGGGCATTCGTGGCTAAGTCCCCCTGAAGTCTATTCGCGGTTTTCATCCAATGTGAACAAGATGGCCACCACCTAGTGGTCAGCCATAGGAATTGCGGCCACCCAGACGAACACTTAGACCACTGCGGTGGAGATTGCAAAAACAAGCTCCAGGGTAGTCTCCGGTTCATTAATGAGAATCCCTTTCACTGTCATGTGTTGCCAAATCCCATACATTTTCTGCCACCATGCATTTGTTACAACTATCTCTGGCAATACACTCAATGAGGACATTTGTATGTCGAATGTACCTACTTACCTATGTATTGTGCATTGTTATATCTAAACGAATGATGTGCAGTAAAAATTTTCAAGTTTAAGAAACACAAATTAAATTAGTAGTATCAGCACAAGAATGCAGACAAGTTTGTTTTTCAGGAGGCAGGTTGTAAGGGAGACTGTTTTCTCACCTTTCATAGGCGTGAGCACGGGGCTGGGCACACCCTATGTATATTGAGACCGGCAGGGGAGATCTCAGGATCCCCCCTGTCGGCTCATGCAGAGCTGGCGCTATCCGAGCGCCGGCTCTGCTCTCAGCCTCCCTCCCCACCGACCCACAGGCAGGGAGGGAGGCAGGAGAGGACCCGGGGAGCTCTTGCCAGTAGCTCCGCCAGGTTCCTCTCGCGGGATTCTGAGGGTTGCCGTGGCAACTCTCAGATCTCGCGAGAGTGAACTCTAGCCCCGCCGGCTAGAGTTCACTCTCCACTGTACCACCAGGGATGGAAGCAGCAGAAAGGATCCCCTCTCGCAGGCATAAGGTAGGAAGGGAGGGGGGATATTTACTAAACGGCCCCCACACAATACACACAATCACCCAAACATACAGCACCCTTACACACACAGCACCCTCACACATACACACACACAGCACCCTCACACACACAGCACCCTTACACACACAGCACCCTCACACATACACACACACAGCACCCCCACACATACACACACACAGCACCCTAACACACACACTAACAGCACCTTCACACACATAGCACCCTTACACACACAGCACCATCACACATACATACTAACAGCACCCTCACACACACAGCACCCTCACACATACAGAACCCTCACACATACAGCACCCTCACACACACACTAACAGCACCCTCACACACACAGCGCCTTCACACACACAGCACCTTCACACACACACACACACACACAGTGCCCTTACATACACAGCACCCTTACACACACAGCGCCCTTACACACACAGCACCTTCACACACACACATAGTGCCCCCCCACACACACACACAGCAGTATATATGTGTGTATATATATATATATAAATTCAGATAGTGATCAGCACTCACGGATTTTCAAGAATTAAAATTAACAATTTATTAAGTATCCATTAAAAGATCAACGTTTCAGTCCCAGCAGGGACTTTCATCAGGATCAGGCATGTCTATTTTTGCTATATATATATATATATATATATAGATATATATATATATATACATACACACACGCAGCGTGTGTGTTTGTGCTTTAGGGTGCACACCCTTATACATTAGACTGCACACGCCTATACCTCTGAAGCATTTTCCACTATGCATCAGCAGACTTAGCAGCAGTGCCAACGAACTAGGAAGAAATATCTGGTAAGAATGTATTATATTCTAAACTGGAGGGTGGGGGGAGGAGGAAGTAGTCAAATGCTGCAAAGTGTAGTCATAGTATGTTTAGTGAAGCAAATGAGAGTAACAGCAGTTCCCTCACAATTTGTACAAGAATCAGTGAAGCCAGAATCATCACTACACCAAAGCCAGCAGCAGCAGCAAATACCCACATGAGGGATGTAGAGCACTTGACAGCACCAGTATTATCTGCTGATGTAATCTTTTCATACTCCACCAGGAATTGTTTGAAGAAATTGTTCCATTATAGTCCAGAGGAAAGTGAGGAGAAAAAAACATCTATTGTGATGACGCCATGTCCTGAAAAACAAAAAGGGAAATATAGGATTAGTAGTAGTACTAATAGTTTGATAGAGGCAGACGTTACATCCACCAAGTTGTCCTGTAACCACAAGTATCACACTGATTAGTAGTACTACTACAGCAGGTGATGGTACAAGAAGTACATTTATGAGCAGTGTTACTTCAATGGTCCAGTAGCAGAGCAGCAGTAGATCTCCCATTTTATGTTGAGCAGCAAAATAAAGAAAAAAGTGTAGGAGCATTTTGATACTGTGGGATATGGACTTTGGGAAATTTGCAGGCTGTACAGCAAGGGCACTAGAAGGGGAATGTTTGGGGACATTTGACAAGTTCAAGGATGTACAGTCATATACACAGTGGTGGCTCATTATCAACAGCAGCACAAGCACCAACTGCTAATGCTAAAATTGTGGCGCAAGCTCAAGCTAGTAAACAAAGACAAGTGGAGGAGATGATAACACCATTAGCTGAACCATAAAGAATTTGGTGCTGTAGATATAAGGCACATATCAAAATAGATGCCAAATAAGGTTACTAGATTGATAGGAATCTTATGACTGTTGGGTAGCTTATTTTGCCCTATGATACAGGCTCTAACTCACAATTACCACCAGCCTTCTCAAATATCATTTAGCAGTAAAGTAGCACCCTTTCTTGCATAGTTACATAGGCTAAAAAAATAATTGTGCCCACTAAATTCAGCCTTTCTCACATCTGTTTCTACTGTTGATCCTAAAGAAGACAAAAAAAAACAGTTTGTAGCTCTTTGCAATTTTGCAACAAACTAGAAACAAAATTCCTTCTCATTGGCACAAGATAATGTATTTTTGCCAAGCCATTGCTGGTAATATTGTGGGAAGTAACAAGACAAAAGGCAAGTTACTCTCATAAAGTTAAGTTTTGTCAAGGTAGGATTTTAACACAAGACAAGTTCTTACTTTGTTACATAGGCGTGCGCACGGGGTGTGCCGGGTATGCCTGGGCACACCCTAATCCCCGCGGCACGCCTATGGATTGAGACCGACAGGGGAGATCTCAGGATCTCCCATGTCAGTTCATGCAGAGCCGGCGCTATCTGAGCGCTGGCTCTGCTCTAAGCCTCCATGGGCCAGTGGGGAGATCAAAGATCTACCTCACCGACCCACATGCAGTGAGGGAGGCAGAAGAGGACCCGGGGAGCTCTAGTCAGCAGCTCCGCCGGGTTCCTCTCGTGAGATCTGAGCATTGCCGTGGCAATGCTCAGATCTCGCGAGAGTGAACTCTAGCCCTGCAGGCTAGAGTTCACCCTCCACTAGACCACCAGGGAAGGCAGCAGCACGGTCCCCCCTCCCTACATAAGGTAAAAAGGGAGGGGGGATATTTCTTAACTATCTGCCCCCACCTCCACCCCCACAAATCACCCAAACATACAGCACCCACACACAAACAGCACACACACATACAGCACACAAACAGTGCTCACACACACCGCACCCTCACACACACACACACACAGCACCCTCACACACACAGTACACTAACAGCACACTCACACACAGCACACTAACAGTACCTTCACAAACACACAACATCCACACACAGCACACAGACAGCACCCTCACACACACACACAGAACACTAACCGGACCCCAACAAACACACACACAGCACACTACCAGTACCCTCACACACAGCACACAAACAGCACCCTCACACACAAACAGCACCCTCACACACAGTACACTAACAGCACCCTCATACTCAAACAGCATGCCTATGTTTTGTCATATGGTATTTTTTGACTGCATTGAAATATCAAATAATGATCAAACTAAGGGGAGAAATTTGGATGAACAACAGAATATGTCCTAATTGCCAGTTTGAAGGTAGTATTGTTGTATAGCAATATTCCCATTTCTATGAGACTGAAAGGGGTTGCATACTTTTTTTTTAATCAAAATCTGTGTTTGCTGTGAAAGAGCAAACATTTATTCTGATACTGTTGGAATGTGTTTTAACTCATAATTTGTTCACCTATAATGACAAGTAGTATCTACAAGTGAAGGGCAAAGCTATGGGGTCGGCCTGTGCACCTAGCTATGCCAACTTATTTCTGGGATGGGAGGAGGAAACAATGGTGATGACATCTATCCATGTTCACTTCATGTCCCAGAATTTAAGTTGGCAGAGATATAAAGATGATATTTTAATCTTCTGGACCGACCCAATATGTCTCGTTGAAGAATTTGTGTCAGTTTTGAATGATAATCCTTTTTAATTAAAATTGACACATGTTATAGATGAGTTTGAACTTGTCTTTTTGGACCTCAAGATCATTATTTTAGAAAATGGCAAAGTGTTGACATGCTTATTTAGAAAACCTACTGCAACCAATAGTTTGTCACATTGGGATAATCATCATCCTCGTAATACAAAGAAAAACATTCCGTACTGACAATACCTAAAGAGAGCTAAAAGGAATTGCTCTAAGGAAGATGACTTTGAAAAAGAGGTGAAAAGTTTTGGCTATCCTAATCGAATACTGAAAAGGGCATATCACTGTGTAAAAATGATAAAAATATCAGATTTTAAAAACAAATTGGCCAATTATTCAAAGTGATGACACATTGAACAAAGTCATCTTGCCTTTTCCCTCAATTGCTTTCCAAAGATCTAAAAATCTTAAAGATCTTTTGGTTCACAGCTATCTGCAAAGTACAAAGGGAACGTAAAAGTGTGAGCACTGTAAAGCCTGTGAGTTCATCTATCCTTCTATATCGACAATCAGTACTCAGACAAAACAAACCTATATAGCTGGGCAGCTTTGTAAACTGCGGTTCAACTAATATTGTGTATCTTATCTCATGTCAGTGCGGGGTGCAGTATATAGGGAAAACTTTCCAACAGTGGAGAAGACAAATTTTACAACATATTAATTCAGTCTCTAACCCCAACATTTCCACACCAGTATTGAGACATGTAAGGTTTTATAACAATGCGAACCCTACATTTTTGAAATTCCAAGCTATACAGAAATTACAACTCAATTCTCGTAAAGGAAATATTAATCAATTGTTGTTGAAGGCGGAGTCACGGTGGATTTATCATTTCAAAACCATGACTCCTAAAGGATTAAACAAGGAGTTTGATTTTACTCCATATATAAATTAAAATAAAGTAAGAATTCAGTCTCTCAATTGAATGTGAGTAAATGTGATCATTGACATTGAAAATGTTTCTGTTGTACCCCCTCTTTGAGGCACTTTTCTAATAGAACCACATAATTTGTTTTAATTTTTTTGTCAACCTTTAAGTGAATAAGCCAGGTCTATATGAAGACTTAATGGACAATTATAAATCCATTTTTAAAAATGTTTTATACACTTGGTTATTGACGTAATTGATGTCGCACTAGTACTGTTTTCATTATTGAAGTTTATTCAGCAGAGGTATTTGGTGGAGTTTAGCCGTTCATCATATGCACAGTGATTTGAATCATTCCCTGAGATTGATACTTTTGAGACACAATCATCTTTAAATGGGTAACATTTAATAGCAGTAGTCAGCTAGTAACTTACAATGTGAGAGGAGGAGTGATGACGTAGGCGCACGTAGCCGGCGTCCTCGTGGTGTGTTGCTGGGAGATCTGATAAAGCCGTGAATACGGTGAAACGCGCCATCACGTTGAGCACGCTACGCACGCACTACGTACCATGCATTACGCACGCACTACGCACCCTTGGTAACTCCACCCCCCGGAAGCCTTAGCTTGCGGCAGGACCAATTGAATGTGGAGGATTTAGTCGACACCCCTATTAGAGGCATTCTTACATTGTTTTACCTGCTGCATACGGAGGGAGAAGGAGATGCTGTTTTGGTTTGTACAATAAAAGTAGTGAAAGTGGATACGTCTTGTGCCGTCTCTGTCCCAAGAGGGAATTATTAAGGAGCGGTTACAGTTAGAGCAGGCTTATTCTTCTCTACCTTCGTGAGTGTACATTTCATTTTACGATATATGATTTTAGTTTTGTAACAGTGTTACACTATCTGTTCTTTTTATGTCTCTCCCTTACATGTTTTAAAATTTGGAGAAGACACCGTCATGTATGTATACAGTCTACATTTTTGGTCTTATCACCATATTCACTAAGTGTACTTTATTTCACTTTGCACTTTATAATTTATTACAATATATTTGCACTTGTGGCACTTTGCAAATTTTGTCTTAAAGACACAGTGCACCTTATATATCTGTATATAGTATCATTTTAAGTGGTTTTTTAGAGCTTTACACTAATTCTGGTGCAGCTTCTGTGTGTATATTATTGTGGGGATATAGTTATTATATTTATTATTTTTAGACCGGTATTACGAGTGCCTTATTTATCACTTGCTTTTGTACATTGTGGCTGGGAAATGCTCGAGTTGAGGAGAAGGGGGTAGCTCATGCTGGCCGCTTGTCCAGGGCTGGAAGAGGGGAAAGGACGGCGTGTATTTCGAGTGAGAGGTCCTGTCTGAATGTAGCTGTTCCCCTAGGGAGCGAAACGATAGGCAGCCCAGGAATCCAAAAAAGAACGCTGTGCACCTAATGATGCATGGATAAGATACACTGGAGAAATACTGAAGCCAGTCTAAAGCTAAGTGTATAGTTGATGATGTAATGGAATTAATGGCAAATTAACACTTATGGCACACAATAGTCTCTATCCTTCCCTGTTTGTTGAAGCTTTGGCTTTTTTTTTTTTGCTTTATGCCTCTCCCTCCTCTTGCAACTATCTCATATATTATATAATATGAGGCTTTAGCTGGTTAATAACGGTTGGGGAGAGGGGGCAAGTTTACTAAACAGAGATCTCTGTATTCTTTCCTGTTGGGTAATTAATCCTTTTTTTTTTTTGATACCTCCTGTACTGTTATTCCTCCTACAAGAGATTTGAGGTAGTGAAGAGATTTGAGGTAGTGAAGTAGGGGGTAGTGAAAAAGATGAAGTAGAAAAGAAAGGAGGGAAACAATAAAAGAAATGAAGAAAGGGGGGAAGGGAAGAGGTAAGGGAAAGGATAACAAGAAACAAAAGAGTGTATGAACCCCTGACCACAGGAGTGGAAGAGAAGGGGAACAAAGGAAAGGAAAAAAGAAAAGAAACTGTGTTAAGACTACCCAAAAGTATTATAACAAACCCCTGAAAAATAAAAGAAACAAAAGGAACTTTAAAAAAAAAAGCAAGTAAAAGGGGGAAAGAGGGGAGAAGGAAGGGAGAGAAAAGGAGAAGAAAACATGGCCACCAAAAAGACGCAAAATGGCAAACACCTAAAAATAAAATGGAAGGTCAGCTAGAAAAACATTTTTTTTTCTTCTCACCCCAACCGCTTGGGAATAAATTAAATTTAGATGTGTCACACCAGATAACTAATCCGATAGAAGGAGAAGCGAGTAGTACACAGAACTCAGTCATCTAGACACACAATTTGAGAAATTTAAGGTGGAAATGCAAGCAAATACACAGGACATCAAGAGAGACCTTTTCTTATTAACCCCAAGGATCCAAAGTATTGAAGAAAAACTAGGGATCATCGAACTTGTGAGAAACTCCCACTAGGAAGAACATGTCATTTTGGAAAGAAAAAGAGCGAATCGGGAAAATAAAATTATAGATCTGGAAGACAGATCAAGGAAGAACAACCTAATATATAGAGGTATGTCAGAACAAATAAAGAAAACAGAATTGGAAAAATATATAGAAGAATTTTTTAAATATATAAAAGTGGAATGGGATATTAAAAGCCCTTTGATGGAATGGTGTCACTGAGTTAACAAACCAAAAGACGTACCAGACCACCTCCCAAGAGATATATTGTTTTGTTGTTCCTCTTTTAAACTCAAGTTACAGATCCTGAGATCACTGAAAAAGATCAATCATTCAGGAGAGTATGAAGCGTTAAAAATCTACCAGGACCTGCCATGGAATACTAGACAGAAGAGGAAGTCCTTTGCAGATAGTACAATATAACTCAGATCCAAGAATATAAAATTCTGGTGGGGGGTTCCCACAAAGATTTTTATACTGCATGAAGGCAAGACCTTAAGCTTCAATAAGGCAGAAGATCTTAAAAGATGGTTGACTTTAAGTAAATAGATATAAAGAATCAACAGATTAATAACTACTTTGCGAGGAAATAGGAGGGGAGAGTGGAGATAAAAGGGGAGAAATAGGAGAAATAAAGTAAAACGAGAGGACGGAATGAAAGGAAAAGGGGAAGGAAAGGCATCTGCAGATTTATTTATTTTTATTTTTTTGTAGTTGTGATGAATGATAATTTATAGATGTACACAATATAAAGAGGAAGTATATACATTAGCAGAATAAAAATGAATACATTTAGAAATGGCAGACAGCATGTGATGTGAAGAAATTAGAGTTTTTTTTTATTTTTTTTGGGGGGGGGGGTGGGAGTCACAAGTTAAATAATACAGACCAAATGTTTGAGGTGTTAATTAATACTTATTTAATGATGAAACTGCCACATATACTTATCAACAAACTTACAAGGGATTACGAGAGTCATGAAGATTTATATAACTAAGTGAAAAAGTGAAAATGATGAGGGAGAAAAGAAAAGAGCACTGTAAAGTAAAAAAATAATAAGTTATATGGAATGGTTTACATACTAGGTGAAAATTAGATACATGGCAGAAGATGGTAAGGGAATAAATAGGATGAAAAAATAGTATAGGGGGTCAATTAGCCCTCTACACGATTACAAATTGGAATGAATAGGTTTTTTTTTTTGAGAGAGAGATTCTGGGAAGACAAGCATATAACAAACACTTCAGATTTAAGTGATGTTCAGAACACTATAATGTAATGTCCTAAGGGTTCTTTGGCAGAGTGACGGGGATGCGATGTCAATCCTTTCTTTTATTTTTTCCCCTTGTCCTCTGTATTAATTTAGTTTTTTTTATATATATATATATATATTTATTTATTTTTTGGTTCAGTGGGATACCCATTTGATGCTTAGGTATGGACTCGGGCATTTCTAACCAAGCACGCTTACATACAGGATATGTGGGTTCATTATCTGAGCAATGGGGGATATTTCTCGAGATACAGTATGGCAGGGAGTGTCTGCGAAGAAAGGCTGGATGTCAATGGTTGTGTCTTAGGCTGATTCCTTTGTTTAGGACCAGCCTGTCTGTGTGTAATTTGAAAACTTTTTTTATATATACTATGTTATGATAGCCCCAATGTATAAATTGGAGAGAGAGAGAGCCCTTTGAGCTGGCAGAAATTGTTAAATTAAGCTAGCATCATTGAACGCCCGTGGGATTAATTCACCTTTTAAAATATCCCTAATTTTGGATTTCATGAAGAAAAACCAAATACAAGCTTGTGCATTACAAGAAACACATTGGATAAAAACTGACAAAATTAATATAAGATCTATTAATTATCTGCTTATTAGAAGTGCGGCTCTGGAAGAAAAAAAGGGGGAGGAGGTGGCCTTTATGTTTTCCAAAAATATATCCATAAACATTAAATACCAAAATCTTGATAAGGAAGGAAGATATTTTATCCTGGTGTGCAAAATAAAAAATAAACTTTTTTACATTAGCTAATGTATATCCACCTATAAGTCTACTATAAAATTTACAACAAAGATTATGAAGAAAATTGATCAACTCAAGCAGGGGGTGCTATTAATTATGGGAGATTGAAACTGTGTAACTGACCCTTTTAAAGATAGGAAGAACTATAATGGAAAAATATCAATAAAGAAACTTCTGATAGATTACAAAATTTGATAGATCAATATAATCTTAGGGATATTTGGAGAACATTTTATCCACTGGAGTTGGACTTTCTATGTTATTCAAAAACATTCAATTCCTACTCCAGAACCAATCTTATTCTGGGAAATGTGGCCATGCTATACCTTGTTAAAAAGATCATAACCCAACCATACTGGATTACAAAGATGCTTTTGACAACTTTTGTAAAGATTGGCGATTGAACGATAAAATATTGTATAAAAACTATAATATTGAACAGATAAAAAAAAACAGATAAAAAAATAACTGATCTATTTTACTTGGAAAACAAAAATAAGGGGACATCAGATATTGTAGTATGGTGCGCTTACAATAGCGTAATTAGAGGCCACCTGATGGGGTTGGCAGCTAGAATGAAAAAGAAAGAAGGCCCCCCACTTTCAGAGCTATACATAGCGCTAAATGAATATAAGAAACATAATAAAATAACACCTCCAGAAATAGCAAAGAAAATATCAGAAATAGAACAGAACATACATTTGCAATCATCCAATAAAATAGAAAACACATTAGAATTTTTCCAATCTAAATGGTACCAAAAAGGCAATAAGCTAGAAACACTTATGAGTAGCAAGTTGAAAAAGGAAAAATAAAAGAGTGATATCTAGAATTAGGGATAAAGATACATACATTATGGCCCCAGAACAAATAGGCGGAGCATTCGAAAAATTCTGTAGAGATCTATATAACCTACCAGAGGATTTATTTGGTAGTGATGAAGAAATTAAAAAAATTATTTGAAAGTATAAAGATGCCCAAAATTCTGCCTGATCAATTAGAAACAATAAACCAACCTATAACAGAAGCAGAAGTTATTAAAGCACTAGATAAGCTTATAGAATGAACTGCCCCAGGCCCAGATGGTTTCATGAATACATTTTATATAATTATGAAAGATCAATTAAAAGAAGAACTCACAAATGTTTTAAATTACATGATAAATACAGGAAGATGCCCTGGAGAGTTATTGAGAGCAAATATCGTCCTAATTCCAAAATCAGATAAAGATCCAGAACTGATAAGCAATTTTAGACCAATTTCATTGATAAACACAGACATCAAAATATTCTTGTCAATTCTTGCGAAACGGCTGAAATCTGTCATACCAGATCTCATTAACAACGATCAGGTCGGTTTTATTCCAGGCCAGTCATTAGTTAACAATATTTGGA